GACTCTTTAAAACCCAGGAATAGCAGTCGCCAGCTCTGTCCGAATTGACGTCCGTTCGAGTTTGGATCGCAGGGGTACTCCCTGTGCGGTGCTTCGAATGTGTGGAAGTGGGGTTATGAAGCAAAGCGTCATCTGATGCTCACCGTCGCTCTTCAGCGGTGCAAATGCTCTTTGGCTGTGGGTACACTGAATGCAGGGCAAAGCCGTTAACCGTACACTAACAAAGTCTGCTTAAGGACGCGCTGGCCCAGGTGGTAGCAACCCCATCCATCTAAAGGGAACTGGAGAGGAAACGTAAGTAAATATTTACTTCTTGGGGTTGTAGTTCTGATATCTCTCTGTGGCTAGCTTGCTGTTGGACGGTAGAACGGCTGGCTAGCCATGACCACAATGAAGAAAAGGGCGAACTTCGGTACGGACAACGTGAGTTGTGTCATTCGATGCGGGTGCACGTTCTTGCAGGCTTTGATGTAGGCTTGTCCCCTGATGGTGGGGAGCATACTCAAGATCGAAGGTACGTCTTCAAGCAACGAGTGAACGTGGAAACGTACACGGACATCGCGATTCACGGACGAATGAGTAGGGGGTGTCAGAAGGGAAGATGGGGGTGAAGAGCGAAAGGATGGCTGTGGCGATTCTTGGCTGAGGCAGGGACTTCATCGGCAAAATGGAATGGCACATCACGATAGAATTGTAGCTGATAATCGTACCAAGTAGGCTTTAATTTCGTACTGCCCATGTTACAGCCACTTCTTCAACCTTCAGTTACCGTAGTTCAAGTCCTCTGCGTGGTCAACGAGGGAAAATGACGTCGTGGAAAGAAGCCCACTGCCGAGGAGACTTGTCTGTGCTAAGTGGCGAACTCATGCCACTGCTGGAGCTCGAATGGCGACTCGAAGGGGCATTCACCTAGACTGTAGCAAAACTTCAGGGAAAGTTAACCTGGAGTTTGTACTCACCCTCTGCCTCGCCGTTTGGTTGATGTTTAGGTCTGGCAACAAACTTGCGCGCTTTCACGATCGTCGTGGGCAGATTGAAAAGCTCAGTTGGGGAGCCAATGACGTGTGTATATATTGGAAATTGAGTCAAGGGAATAAAGTTGTACGAACGGAAGAACGAAAAGCTGGGAGAAGCGAGTCAGTGACGTCACTCGAGTAGCAGACCCAGCATAACCAAACAATACACTGTTCATGGCGCTTATCTTGATTCTTCACCACTTCCACCATCTCAGGCATCCCAGCGACAAATGTCTCTCTCCAATGTTGAATCCCAAGCCGCAGAGGATATAGAAAGACAACAGAGACGAGCACGCAGAGTTCGAAACCTCACCGACCGCTTTCGCGTCCTCATCATTGGCCGCGCCAACGCGGGGAAGACAACCATCCTCCAGCGAGTTTGCAATACAACGGAACAGTCGAAAATTTTCAATCCGGAGGGTCATGAGGTATTCTATGTGCTAGACATCATCAGTTCTCATTATTGATATGAAAAAGATTGACTTGTCCAAGCTTGATCCAACTACACAGGTAATGTGGATCTACACTCCCTATTATTTTACTGAAGGTGTGGCAGAGAGGGGAGCATGATATTGAGAATGAAATGATATTTGAGAGCAATACAGCATTTGTCTTTCATGACTCATGTGGCTTTGAAGCAGGCAGAACATCTGAGCTGGATAATGTCAAGGACTTTTTGCAAAAATGTTCAACTGCCAAAGACCTCAAGGATCATCTACATGTGATTTGGTGAGTGACTGAATTGTGACATTGAAGTGCATCTGAATACACCCTGTGTAGGTACTGCATCCCAATTAATGATGAAGCCAGACCATTTACAAGGGCAGAGATAAATTTCTTTGATGAGTGTGGGACTGGTAGAGGTGTGTAAATTATTGATAATCTCTTGAATTTCACCTTTTCTTTTTGTGCACAGTTCCTGTTATTGTCCTGTTTACAAAAGCAGATATGCTTGATGCCCAAACCATCAAACACCTGGTTGATACTGGAATGGATGTTGAAGATGCTATCAATACAGCTCCAGAAGTGTCAGTTGCCAGGTTTGAAGAGAAATTTGGCCAGGAACTTTTCAAGAGAAAGTATCCTCCCAAGGATCATGTGTATTTTCGAGGTATAACAAACTCATTTACTCATTGACAATAGATCAATTGCATTTAACAGATATGCAAAATCCCACAAGTGACTGCAGTGAACTTCTGAGGAAGACAGCAGCCACCTTTTCAGATGATACACTCTTACAGCTGTTTCTTACAGTGCAGCAAAATAATGTGGCTCTGTCAATTGAATATGCAATTATAAGGTACTTGCTTCATTTTGAATGATATGCTGGTAAATTTCTGATTATCTAAAATAATAGAGTTGGCTTTCCAGGTTGGAAGTTATTCAAAGAAAAGAAAGAGTGGAGGAAGATGGTTGAGAAGATACTGAAGTATTTTCCACATATGGTATGTGGACCTTACTTGCCTATACAGTAGTAGAACAAAATAATATATATGAACAGGCGGTAAGCCAACATCCAGTGGGTCAACTAGATGCTAATGGGATCATGCTTTTGTTATAACAGTGGGTGAGTCAGGATCTGACTGGCCTTTCCTGCTTGTTGCTGACAAGAGCATGCCTTGGGTTATAAACAGTGGGTGAGTCAGGATCTGACTGGCCCTTCCTGCTTGTTGCTGACAAGAGCATGCTCTGGGTTTTGAACAGTGGGTAAGTCAGGATCTGGCTGGCCCTTCCTGCTTGTTGCTGACAAGAGCATGCTCTGGGTTTTGAACAGGGTGTAAGTCAGGATCTGGCTGGCCCTTCCTGCTTGTTGCTGATAAGAGCATGCTCTGGGTTTTGAACAGCCTGTAAGTTAGGATCTGACTGGCTCTTCCTGCTTGTTGCTGACAAGTGCATACTCTGGGTTTTGAACAGAATGTAAGTCAGGATCTGGCTGGCACTTCCTGCTTGTTGCTGACAAGAGCATGCTCTGGGTTTTGAACAGAATGTAAGTCAGGATCTGGCTGGCCCTTCCTGCTTGTTGCTGACAAGAGCATGCTCTGGGTTTTGAACAGGATGTAAGTCAGGATCTAGCTGGCACTTCCTGCTTGTTGCTGACAAAAGCATGCTCTGGGTTTTGAACAGAATGTAAGTCAGGATCTGGCTGGCCCTTCCTGCTTGTTGCTGACAAGAGCATGCTCTGGGTTTTGAACAGGAAGTAAGTCAGGATCTGGCTGGCCCTTCCTGCTTGTTGCTGACAAGAGCATGCTCTGGGTTTTGAACAGCGAGTGAGTCAGGATCTGGCTGGCCCTTCCTGCTTGTTGCTGACAAGAGCATGCTCTGGGTTTTGAACAGCATGTAAGTCAGGATGGCTGGCACTTCCTGCTTGTTGCTGACAAAAGCATGCTCTGGGTTTTGAACAGAATGTAAGTCAGGATCTGGCTGGCACTTCCTGCTTGTTGCTGACAAGAGCATGTTCTGGGTTTTGACAGCAAGTAAGTCAGGATCTGGCT